TACATTTCCTAAAAGTGATGGTGGGGCTGAGTGTTGGTTTGGACTTGGAGTTAGGGATCTGAAAGCACAACTATTTTCAGTTCCCTCAGAATTTCCCAACTAGAGAGCTTGGATTTGTGTATTATTTACTATGAGGTGGTATGTCATCTCATAGGAAAGGGAGTCGAGCGTCAAGTTTAGCCCTTCTCAGCTTAACACATAGGGTCATTGGGTTGGCCGCACTTGCATTACGAAGAACCTTCTAGAAGAGAAGAAATGTCAATGCTGAATTCGTAGAATGACCGTTTCCTTCAAAGCAGTATTTATTTCACTTAGCGAATGCTATTAATCCGCAGTGTCATTCTTCTGCTGACACGAGGTCATTTTTACTGTGTGACAACTGACATCACAATTGGTGGTCTTAGTCCTTCTGGATTTAGACTTAGTGTTTTTATCCCATAAACATGAAAAACGAGCTCAGACTGAGAGGAAACACTCCTCATTCTTAATTGTACTTTCAGTAGAAGTTCCTCATGCCTAGAAGACATTCAGCATTTCTTATTTTAATTGTTTGAATGAGAAAGCTTTGTCTCACCGCAGTGTTTCTACACATATCAAGAGACCAAGGTACTGATTCACGAGAAGGCATCATTCAACTAATATTTATTGAACAGTTCCTAATGCTGGGGGTCCCTAGGTGGTGCAAACGGTTGGCACTCGGCCACTGACTGAAAGCTGGTGGTTCGAGCCCTTCCAGAGGCACTGTGCAAGAACGGCCTGGAGACCTGCTCTATAGAGCTTCCAGCCAAGAAAACCCAGGGTCTGGAACACATGGGGCGCCATGAGTTGCAATGAATTAACTTGATGGCAAAGGTTTGTGTTGTTTTGCTTTGTTTTGTTTCCGTATGCTAGCCACCATTTCAGGTGCTACAGATACTGCAAAGGATCAAACCCAGAAATCGCTGTCTGAACGGAATTTGCCTTCTCTGATGTCTTTCCAAATGCATTCCCCCCCTCTCCCCATGGCACTTTTTAGTTCCTCTGGGGAGCCCGGGATGCATGCCCTTTCTCAGAGCCATCGTCTCCCTAACCCCAGCATTCTTGCACATTGGGCCTTTGTCATTTTAGGAGTTTGCATTTCATTAATGATTTTGGAACCACTCCCTCATGGCAGCCCCTGGGAGTCAGGCTGGCAGAACGTTCCATTTCGGGCTGTTGCTGGCAAGCTAGGGTAACCCGGACTCACCCGCTTGGGCTTTCTGTCACTTCACCTTAATTTCTCCATTTTTTTTCTGAAAGCTGTCCGTCACTTCCCCATGGATTTTGTACACTCACCATCTAAGAATTGAAATTCAACATAAAAAAGAAAGACTGGCTGTGAAGGCCCCTCAAATTCTCAGCACTTCCACAACCCTAGAGACCTGGGTGGCAGAGCTGGGGGGATGGGGCTTAGCTATGTCGAGGGTCCCGCTCTCATCCTGAAAGCCTAGTCTGTTGTTTGAACCACTGACAGCCCAAAAATATGTCCAACACACACTTTGCAGAGAGTCATCTCCCCATAAGAATCAAGGACTAAACCCAAGGAAGCTCACCTAATTGAAACACAGTTCTGAAGACTGGGGAGCTCTGGTGGCACAGTGCCTAAGGCATTTGACTGCTAACCAGAAGGCTGGCGGTTCAAACCCACCAGCCACTCCTCGGAAGGAAGACTGGGCAATCTACTTCCGTAGTGATACCACCTCGGAAACCCAAGGAGGGGTCGCTATGAGTTGGATCAACTCAGTGGCAGTGAGTTTAGTTGTTGTTACTGAAGGCTGGGTGAGTTAGAGAAGGGAGCATCACAGCAGTACTGGGGGGCCGGGGGGCTCGGTGGCAGAGTTCTCACCTTCCTTGTGGGAGAGCAGGTTTGGTTCCCAGCCAATGTGCCCTGTGTGCTGTTGCCATCAGTCAGTGGAGGCTGGTGGGTGGCTGTGATGCTGAACAGACTAGGCAGAAAGGCCTGGCGATCTGCTTCCAGAAATCATCCAACAAAAAGCCTCTGGCTCACAGCCGATGGAGGGGATGGTGCAGGCCCGGGGAGCAATGTTTTGGTCACGGGGTACCCATGACTTGGGGGCTGACTTCATGGTAGCCCCACTAGCCACCTGCAGCTAGTTCCATTTAAACTTGATAAATTACACCTGAATAAAATTAAGGTTTTGGTTGTTGTATTGCTTTAGTGACATTTTGAGTGCTTAATTGACACAAGTGATGGTGGTCTCCACATTGGAGCATTCTGATCACCATGGACAGTTCTGCTGGACAGGGCTGGCCTCGAACACCCTCCTGACAGGCATCTGCATGGCTCACACCCATTGCCCTCTTTCCATTTTTTCGTCAAAATCAGCTGCCATGTGGGACATACTGGCTGCCTTCTGCAAAACTGTAACTCTTGTTCAGTATGTCCTTCCTCCCTTACTTCCCCTATTTATCTGTGGCCTCTCACCTTGTAATATTCTCTTCATACCCTTTCTTACTATTTCTTCTTATTAGCTATTTTATTTATGCATTTTATTATCTGCTTGGCCCCAGAACTATGTGAGTTTCACGAAGGTCACCCAAGTGGTCCTTCCACGGCTGTTCTTTGAACAGTGTGGCCTGTTGACTGACTGAATGAACAAGGACTCACGCTTTATTTGACCTCCTCCTTATGCATGATGAGTTCTGTTTGGTTTTTTGTTTACACATGACGTATATTCTTTTTAAAAATATATTCCTTGATGTCGGCTGGGTAAAAGTTCAAAACCCCTAGTGGTGGTTTCGCTTTCAACTGAAGGTTGTGTGTGCCCTCTTTCTGTCTGTTGATTTTTTGCGATTTAGAGTTCTTCTTTTCTGGTTCCAAATTGCTCAGAGCAAGTTCCCACAGATCACCCCAATTCCATCAAACTGTTTCCCCTCTCTGCAAGCCCCCATCAAATACTTGGTGTGAGCTCCAGCGACAAGATGCTAATCAGCAGGAAAAGGGCCGTTTCACAGGAAAAGGGCCTGGTGGCCATACGGGGGGGCTTAATAAACCCAAGGCTGGCAAGCCCTCCTTCCCTCATGCAGGGAGGTGCTGGACCCCATTTTGGCTTTTCCCCACTTTATGGTTCACAGAACGAAATGGACAGCAACTGTGCTGTTTCATAAATGAATGAATGTGTTTAGTCGGGTCAGCGTCCTGCATGTCTGTGGCAGTACCACCTTATATTTCAGTAAACCAAAAACCAAACCAGACTCACTATCATCAGGTCGATTTTGACTCAGAGCGAGCTCCACTGGGTTTCCAAGGCTGTTAGACTTTACGGAAGCAGACTGCCTCATCTTCTCCTTGGAGCAGCTGGTGGATTTGAACTACTGACCTTTTGGCGAGCAGCCAAATGCCTTACCCACTCCACCACACAAGCTCCTTTATATTTCAGTCAGGGTCAGCTATATGGCAATGCAATGCACCTGTGAGGGGAGAACGCCTTGTTGCCGTATATTCTGATTGGGAACTCTGCTGTGGCAATATTTCCCTGAGGACGGAGCCAAAGGCCCATTTGTCAAGTCTGAGGAAACTGTTTTAGTCCTGCGTGGATTCCATAACTTTTCTCACACCTTTAGCAGTGAATGTAGGATCCGGGGACCTCTGCGGATCCTTGCTCGTAACACGGAAGTTAAGAGGGCTGCTGCTCAGCGGTACCCTTTCATGTACGGGCTTTTTGTTGTTGCTGGCTGCTGTCAAGTGGGCCCCGACTCCTGGTGACCCCTGTACAGAGGAATGAGACGCTATCTGGCCCTGCGCCAGCCCCGTGATTGGTTGCCGTTTGGATCATTGGGACCCACAGGGTTCTCACTGGCTGGTTGTCGGAAGCAGATGGCAGGCCTTTCGTCCGAGTCTCTCAGTCTGGAAGCTCTGCAGAAACCTGTTCAGCCTCATAGCCACACACGCGCCTCCACTGACAGGCAGGCGGTGGCTGTGTGTGACGTGCACCAGCGGGGAATCGAACCCAGGTCTCTTATACAGAAGTTAAGAATTCTACCATGGACCCACCAAGCCCTCTGTAGGGGCTTTCAAAGCATGTCTAGGTTATTCCTAAGGCACTTTGGAATCATTTTGCTGCTACTTTCCTAATGATCCCTTTTGTTTTTACTTCAACACTTTCAATCCTTGGCGTTGTAACGCTTTTTCTCCTTGCTTTACTCTCCAACCAGATTCTCAAGCCCTAACATCAAGAATGGACCCCCACTGTGAATGGGCCACAAAGCAGGACAAAGGTCACCTCCTCCCAGGGGCTCTGGTGTTGGGGCTCACTGGCCTTTGTCTCTGGCTGAAGTAACTTACACGATGATGGGGGCTGGCAAATTCCAGAGCCCCTTGGTGAGGTGACAGGCTGGAGACTTTGGCAGTATTGAGCCTACAGTTAGTAGGTCAGGCAGCGGGCTGGGAATTCCAGCAGAATGGCTATTCACAGTCTTGAGGCAGAATCCTTCTCCCTGCACAAAGCTCACTTTCTGCTTTCGAGGCCTTCGACTGACTGGATCAGGCCCACATTGTGGAGAGTCATGTGCTCTACTGAAAGTCAACAGATTTAAATGTTAACCACACACAAATACCTTAGTAGGAACATCTGGAATAATACTTGAGCAGCAAACAACTGGTCTAGCTAAGTTGACACATAAAATTAGCCATCACAATTCTCAATGACTAAATAAGAACTAGAGTTACACAAAACCTGCAAGCCTTATTTGGCTCAACCATGACCTGCTCCCATAAAGATGACAGCCAGGAAAGCCCTATGGGGCACTTTAAGTCTGTGACACATGGAGTCACCATGAGTCGGAATCGACTTGAGAGCAGTGGGCGTGGCTTTGATTTGTCATTCACTTTTTGTTCATGTTTTTGATCGCCTGTAGGATGTTGTTTTCTCCCTTCCTGTCCTCTCAAGCGTTAAGGACACTGCACTACGTGGAATGTAACTTCTGGATTGTTCTTTTTGTTCATGTATTTGATATTGTAGATCCCAGCGTCAGCCGGTATCATGTGCAGTGGTTTCCAGAATTATGTTCCCGCAACGAAACAGCCAGCTCTGAGAAGTCATCTAGCATGACACACGTAAGTAGAAGATGCTGCTGCTTGACTCTGAGAAGGGTCTAGACTCAAATGATTGAACAGAGGTTGCAGATAGTTGCTATGTCAGAGGGGTGACTCATTCTTAGAAGTCAGAGAGAGATGAACAGGTAGATACACAGACAGATAGATAGATGATTGATAGATAAAAACAAAAATAAACCATACTCAATGCCATGAAGTCGATTCTGACTTATACTGACCTACAGGACAGAGTTGTTGTTGTTGTTGTTATGTGCCGTGGAGTCGGCCCCGACTCATAGCGACCCCTCCTTGGGTTTCCGAGGCAGTATCACTACGGAAGTAGGATTGCCCAACCTTCCTTCCGAGGAGTGGCTGGTGGGACCGCCCCATAGGGTTTCCAAGGCTGTCATTCTTTACGGAAACAGACTGCCTCATCTTTCTCTCATGGAGTGGATGGTGGGTTCGAACTACCAACCCTTTTGGTTAGCAGCCAAATGTCTTAAACACTGTACCACCACAGTTCCTTAGGTAGGTAAATAGATAGACAGATAGACAGACAGATAGCTCACTGCTGTTGAGTCAGCTCCAACCTGCGGTACCCTGACAGATAACAGAGTGAATCGCCCCTGGCCCCGCAGCATCCTCACAATCTCCAGCACGTTGAGTTCCAACACCATGGCTCTTGTGCCAGTCCATTTCACCAAGGGTCTCCTTCACCCACACTGGCCCTCTGCTTCACGCACACAATGTCCTCCTCCAGTGACTGATCCCTCCTGATACTTGTCCAAAGCACGTGCATCCTGTTGGGATCCATGCGGTTTTCATTGGCTAATTTTCAGAAGTGGACTGCCAGGCCTTTCCCCCTAGTCTCTCTTAATCTGGAAGCTGCACTGAAACCTGTCTGCCATGGGGGACCCTGCTGGTACTTGAAATGCTGGAGGCACAGCTTCCAGCGTCCCAGCCACACACAAGCCAGCACATCGGACACACAGACAGACGGGTGGTGGGTTCACAGTGAACACTCAGAACACAACAGCCATAGTGACCACTCATCGTTTCATCCATTCGCAACCTGGAGAGCTTATTCTGTTTGGAAATCATGGCAGCTTCAACAGTGCAGAGCTGGGGACAGTTCTAAAGGAAGTTCCAGGTCAGCAGGGACTGGGGGGATACTTGTATCTGTGCGTTCCATCTTGACAAACCCTTTGAATGATTTTCTGAGTTTGGACTTGGCACAATGATCTGAAGGTATTACTGTAAGGATCCATCTCTATAACACTGAATATCATCCACTGTCTGTCTTTTCCATGTTTCTGGCTACCACCTCCTCATGCAAGTAATGAAACGGTGTTTACTTTCCTATACACCATGCACAGTGTTTTGACTTTTAACTTTAAGAGAAAGTAACCTTATTGGTGACAGCAGCCCTGCCAGTACTGTTCAGAATACTGTTCCACAAATTTGGGGTTAATGCGTGACCTAGAGACTAGAATCAACACACCAACAGAACATATTTAGGGGGGCACTGCATTATAGAAGTGTTGGTGACAGCAACATATGTGTAATATGTGTTAGGACAACAGAAAATGTCCAAAACATGGCCTAAAATATACATATGTTGGTTTATGATATTACCCAAGAATATTGTATTTTTGAACGCTTCCTAAAGCAGCCAGTCCAATATTGTTGGAATCATATCTGATCACATAACTTTAAGGCAGGAAGATAAAACTAGTCACTGAGTTTGCACAAACACATAGCTGGATTGACTTGTCTCAACCCACGGTCACCAAAGCTGCCCTTTTTCTTTAGCCTTGAGCTCTTCTCAAGTTTGTGGCCTTCAGGAAATAGAGCAGACATTTAAAAAGATGGAAGTCTACCTCCAAAGCAGAGATAGAAATAAACAGAAATTGGACGTAGTATTAGTATATGTGTGTTGTGTGCGTGGGCAGGGCGAGGCCTTCACTAGTTTTGTTTCTTTGCACCTTGGGAACCTGTGGGATCTGGCTCACTTTTCTGTGGCTCCCCGATCCTGTACTTCTCATCTTGAAGCCAACAACCATACCCACTGCTGTGGAGTCAATCCTCACTCACAGCGCCCCTAGAGGACAGAGTGGAACTGCCCCACAGGGTCTCCAAGGCTGTCAATCTTCACAGAAGCAAAGCCCAAACCACACCCACT